TTTGGCGTGCGTCTATTGTTTCATACCCTAAAAACGTAGGTATGCGTATATGTACTAATTAATATATATATATATATATATAGAGAGAGAGAGAGAGGGAAAAGGTTTGTTATTAAATACCCCACATTGTGATAATAGAAGATTATCTGTAATGATTGTTACAAGGAATACATTGGAGAAACCTCAAGGAATTCAAATAAAAGATTATATGAACACAAAAGTGGTATTTTACAAAACCACACATACATTAATTACTAACCGACTGACTACAATTTTGATTTAAAAAATGTTACTCTTATTAAAAGAGAAAGCAATTTACTCGGACGAAAATGATTAGAAAGTGCTTTAATCGCTAGAACATCAGCGATAAATTTGCGTCCAGATTCTTACATCGTTTTACCATTCTTGGCTAGATCTTTTATTATCGCAATGTGGTATATTTAATAGCAAAAGTGATGAAAACGCAAAAAAAAAGGAAAATAATTTGAATGAAATCAGTTAAATTATATACCCAAAACACTAATTAAAAATATATATATATACATATATATTTAAAATTCTCAACGTCTCTCTTTTGGACGTGCGCCTGCGTAGTAGCATCAACGTAAACATAAACTTAGTCTGCTAAAGTTCTAAAGGACGAAACGCGTGAGGAAAAATTGTTCTTCCTATATAAAATATATATTAAATATTCATATCCCATATATATATATATATATATATATATATATATATATATATATATTGCACAACAAAATCAAAAAATTACCTTTTTATTGTTCAAAATATATGTAAAATTTTATATATATATAAAAAATATATATATATATATATATATATATATATATATATATATATATATATATATAAAGAAAAAGAACATTAAGATATATAATCCGGTGCTCTTACTGATATTTTTTTTTATTCTTATTTTTACAAAACAGTGCTCAATGTAAATTTACAGAGCATAAATATTATAATTTAACTGATTTAAAATGTTATTTTTTCACTACATAGTAATAACCATGTTACAAAAATGGAAGCTAAAAACTTTCCATTTTTGAAACAGGTTTATTACTATGTATGGTGGAAAAATAACATTTTAAATCAGTTAATTATATATATATATATATATATATATATATATATATATATATATTCATGCACGTTTCATTAAATAATATAGACAAGTGTTGTCTATTTATTTTATGTAAAATTTTTCGTAACGTCTGATAAGTTTAATAGCATTATCGTTGAACGAAGAAAGAAATTCACAATATTGATCCATATTTGTTTTAATACAATCTAAGCTTTCGGCTTACTTAAGCCAATATCAAAGATGTCAATTACAACATAGTATACGGACAAGACAGTGATGATAGTCTGTCATTGTTTACATAGATGATTTCTAAGCAACGATAAACACGTGCATGTAAGACGCTAGGAGCGAAAATTGCACCACATCTCATGACGTCACACATGACCACACGAGAGTGAATTGGAGAAGTATGGGAAGCCGTTGGTATAAACCAATGGCTTCTGTTACCAATTATAGACATTTAAGAATATTTGTAGAGATGCCATAATTGATTTTGTTTAGGTTGGGTTTCAACTGTTTGATGTATAATGCTTCAAGGATTTTTAGTTTTTGTCTATTGTTTTCATGTCGAAGTATAATTGTGTTTTCGACAAGTATTTTACGGAACTGTGAGTGCGGGCAGGCATGTTGTTTTAAATGCCTAAAAATGTTAGTTTTCATTCAAATGTAATGTCAAGCGCCGTGAAAGTGAGTTTGTGGTGTGACCAACATAAATATTATTTAATTCGTTGGAGATACACTCTCCCAAAGGGCACTTGAATTTATAAACTATGTTGGTTTTTTGCAAATCGCTAACCGGGGGAGAAGAATCATTGCGAAGAATTAAGTTGGATATACTAGATTTAGTGTAATATATGATTAATTTAATTTTTTTGCTAGGATCTTTTTTGCTATCATCACTGTCGTGTCCGTATATTGTTTAATATGTTGTAATTGACATCTTTGATAATGGCTTATGTAAGCCGAAAGCTTAGATTGTATTAAAAAAATATGGATCAATATTGTGAATTTCTTTCTTTGTTCAGCGATAATGTTATTAAACTTATCAGACGTTACGAAAAAATTTTACATAAAATAAATAGATAACACTTGTCTATATTATTTAATGAAAGATGCTGCTAAATACAAACAATATATATATATATATATATATATGTAAGATTATATATATATATATATATATATATATATATATATATATGAGCAAAACTGGAAAGTTACTACCTTTATATTGGACAGAAACACGTGAAATCTGAATTTTGAAATCTAGAACGCTGCGTAAGCAGTAAAAACAAACAGTTTAAATGCATTGAATTTACAGAAACACATATACATACTCACAGACAACTTAACCTCCTGAAGATGGTCTCATATTAGATTGAAAGTACATGGAAAAATAAAAACTATCTGGAAAGATATTTTGATACTTTTCTTATAACTTTTTCTTAATTTTCTAAAGCTACCAAGAAATTAATCCGAGAACATGAAAGGTTTACAACGAAAACTAATCGACATGATATCTCTAAATTATTTAACCAAACCTGTTTGAATGAAAATATGCTGCCTAAATATACACAACACACACACACACACACACATATATATATATATACATATATATATATATATATATATATATATATATATATATATATATAGTTGTATATTTAGGCAGCAATCCTTCGTTTATGCATGTTTCATTAAAAACGACAGCCAAGGTACTACGGTTAAGCTTTTTATTTAATTTTTCTTTAGAGCTTTCTTTTCTGGACAAAAATGCGTAAAAACTGTCCCAATGTTTTATAGTTCCGAGCGCTTTCGGCTATACCTTTAGCCATTATCAAGGATGATTCAATTTTTCAACTTATGTGTGTGTTTTTGTGTGTTATTGAGATGTTTTAAATTTCCGAACACGGTTAGTACATTGTGGCCTTGTTCGTAGTTAATATTGTTATGAGTTGGCTTTTTCTTTTTTATTATTAAAGGTTCCATTATTTTTAATCTACTTTTACATGCGGATGAGGTTATTATGTTTGTGTTTTCTACTAGTATGTTTTGGATGGAGTCTGGTAAGTTGTGCGTGTGTTTAAATGGATTCTAAGAGAATTGTGGTCAGAGAAGTGTAACGTAAAACATAGGCATAACATATTATAAAACATTTGGACAGTTTTTACGCACTCTTTGTCCAGCTCTTGTTCGAACAAGAAATATTAAATAAAAAGCTTAACCGCAGTACCTTGTCTGTCGTTTTTAATGAAACATATATATATATATATATATATATATATATATATATATATATTGTGAGATTACTTGTGGAGTATAGAGCAAGAGTCTCACCTCACAGTGGCTGTAGCATCTGTGGCAATTCGACTTTACGGAGTAGAATTATGAGACCCACACCCACTGTTCTTTTCCTATAGTAGTCGCCAACTCCAGCTAAAGAGCCTAATTTACCCTGCTATTTGTGTTAATTACATTTATATATATATATATATATATATATATATATATATAATTATATATGCATGAGCAAAAATGGAAAAGGTGCTACCCTTATATTGGAAAAAAAATACGGGAAATCTGAACTTTGAAATCTAGAACGCTGCATAAGCAGAAAAAACAAACAGTTTAAATGCATTGAATTTACAGAAACACATATACATACTCACAGACAACCTCCTGAAGACGGTCTCATATTAGATTGAAAGTACTTGGGAAAATAAAAACAATCTGAAAAAAAATTTTGGATATTTTTCTTATAATTTTTTCTTAATTTTCTAAAGCTGCCAAGAAATTAATCCGAAAACATGAAAGGTTCACAACGAACACTAATCAACATGATATCTCTAAATTATTTAACCAAACCTGTTTGAATGAAAATATGCTGCCTAAATATATATATATATATATATATATATATATATTATAATTATTTTTTTAAAAATATGATTCTTTCTTTAAAAAATAAAAAATAATTATAAAAAAAAAAAATTAAAAATAAAAATAATTATAATTTAAGCTCTACTTCTGTATAGAGCACTGTTTTTTTTTTAAATAAAAAATGCTAAAGAACTCGGATTATTTACCTAACGTGTTCTTTCCTATTTTCTACATAGCCCCCACACACACATATATATATATATATATATATATATATATATATATATATATATATATATATTAATTATTTCAAAAAAAAATATATTTCCTCCCTTTAAAAAAAATAAAAAAATAATTAAAAAAAAATTTAAATAAAAATAAAAAATAATTATAATTTAAGCTCTACTTCTGTATAGAGCACTGTTTTTTTTTTAAATAAAAATGCTAAAGAACTCCGGATTATTTACCTAACGTGTTCTTTCCTATTTTTCTACATACCTCCACATATATATATATATATATATATATATATATATATATATATATATAAACGGAAAAAGATGCCGGATCAGGCGTCTGCAGAAAGGATTGACTAGTCACCCTAGAGCTTGGAAAGCAAATTTTGCGTCGATACGTATGCAGCTATGTTTTTTTGTGATACTAGAAGAGCGAATGTCTGTGTGGAGCACTGTAGCAACCCAGAACACGATCTCATTTTCTTCCTGTATGTCCGCATTTCGGCCCCGCCCGTCATTTCATTTGATGTTCCTATAAAGTAATATTTAGATATTGTTACCCCTTTCAACTTGGAATGGTCTCAGGGGAAAAGTATACACGATTATAGACACTGCTCGTTTCCTCTCCACCCCGGCCACCCATACCTAAAGGGTTTATCCGTCTTATTATTTACAAAGCGTCGGCTCAGTGTACCGCCATCTTCGGCTGTGTGTGGGGCTTCATCTTCCCTTCTTGTTCCCGACTCTGTACGGTGTCTACCCCCTTGATGACAAGAGCCAAGCCCAGATGCTGGGTGAGACAAACTCCCCACTTACCTTTTTGGTAACTGATGACACCATTGAGACATTCTCTCTCCTCCGTGGTCCAATAAAGACGCAATCACAGAAAATATGTTTGCCTTGTGAAATGGAAAGCGGTGAGAGCTGGGTGGTACTGACGCTGGGAAAATGTCTGGGATTACAGATAGTTGGGCGTTTCACCTGAAATGCAAAAGCAATTTTCTGGGGTCTTCTGAAATTTTCTAAAAAGAATTCTTTTTCTTTTTATTCCGTAAAATTTTCGTACATAATCTTTATTGTTTCTTTTCTTCGTTTTCTTTCGTTCTTTTGTTTTTCTTTCTTTCTTTCCTACTTTCTATTCTTCTTTTTCCTTTTTCTTTTCTTTCCTTTTCCTATCTCTTTCCTTCTTTTGTTTTTCTTTCTTTCTTTCCTACTTTCTATTCTTCTTTTCCTTTTCTTTTCTTTTCCTTTTCCTATCTCTTTCCTTCTTTTGTTTTTTCTTTCTTTCTTTCCTACTTTCTATTCTTTTTTTTTTTTTCTTTTCTTTTCCTTTTCCTATCTCTTTCCTTCTTTTTGTTTTTCTTTTCTTTCTTTCCTACTTTTTATTCTTCTTTTTCCTTTTCTTTTCTTTCCTTTTCCTATCTCTTTCCTTCTTTTGTTTTCTTTCTTTCTTTCCTACTTTCTATTCTTCTTTTTTCTTTTTTCTTTTCTTTTCCTTTTCCTATCTCTTTCCTTTTTTTGTTTTTCTTTCTTTCTTTCCTACTTTCTATTCTTCTTTTTCCTTTTTCTTTTCTTTCCTTTTCCTATCTCTTTCCTTCTTTTGTTTTTCTTTCTTTGTTTCCTACTTTCTATTCTTCTTTTTCCTTTTTCTTTTCTTTCCTTTTCCTATCTCTTTCCTTCTTTTGTTTTTCTTTCTTTCTTTCCTACTTTCTATTCTTCTTTTTCCTTTTTCTTTTCTTTCCTTTTCCTATCTCTTTCCTTCTTTTGTTTTTCTTTCTTTCTTTCCTACTTTCTATTCTTCTTTTTCTTTTTTCTTTTCTTTCCTTTTCCTATCTCTTTCCTTCTTTTGTTTTTCTTTCTTTCTTTCCTACTTTCTATTCTTCTTTTTCCTTTTTCTTTTCTTTCCTTTTCCTATCTCTTTCCTTCTTTTGTTTTTTTTTCTTTCTTTTCCTACTTTCTATTCTTCTTTTTCCTTTTTTCTTTTCTTTCCTTTTCCTATCTCTTTCCTTCTTTTTTTTTCTTTCTTTCTTTCCTACTTTCTATTCTTCTTTTCTTTTTCTTTTCTTTCCTTTTCCTATCTCTTTCCTTCTTTTTTTTTTTTTCTTTCTTTCTTTCCTACTTTCTATTCTTCTTTTTCCTTTTTCTTTTCTTTCCTTTTCCTATCTCTTTCCTTCTTTTTGCGTACATGTTTTTGCTTTTTTCATTATTTTCTTTCTTCTTTTTTTTCCTGTTATTCATTTTCATGATTTCTTTCTCTTCCGTATTTTCTTTCTTTCTTTCTCTCTTTCATTTCTTTTTTTTGTCTTTTTCCTTTCCTTGGGCCATGCATATAAAAACGTTGATTGAATCCCGTGACATAACCCAAAGAGTTGTGAGTTCAATACCTGCCTGCAGCTGAAGTGAACAGCAATTTATTCTTATTTTCTTTACTTTTTTCCTATCATTCATTTTCATGCTTTCCTTTTCTCTTGTCTTTTCTTACTTTCTCTTTTTTTTCTCTGGGCCGAGTGGCTAAAAACGTTGTTTGAATCCAGTGACATAGCCCAAAAAGTCATGAGTTCAATACCTGCCTAAAGATGAGGTGAACAAAAAACTTTAAAGTAGAGTTAAAGGGAGATAACTGATATTCAGTTATCCGGAAGAGGCATGGCACGTAGAACTAGAACAGTCTACCTCGGTAGACGAAATAAAAGATTCGGTTCGAAATTCTTCACCTGAAGAAGAGGGTTCTGGATCAGCTCAACAAGAACAACCTACTGAGCGACAAACAGTATAAATGTTGCACTTCTAGGTCCACTGCTGATGTTCTAACTCTAATTATACACAGAATCAGTAAGACCCTAGAGAATAAATTCATCAGGAGGGTGATTTCTTTATATATATCAAAGGACTTTGACAAGTCGTGGTACAGGGGTTTACTATGAAAGCTTTCTTTGATTATTAAGTCAGTCCTAACAGGTGCGCCCATCAATGCTGTTGTGTTAATGACCAGTCCTCTGAGGCCCATGAGATGCAGGCGTTTTCCAAGTCTCATTTTTCGGCCCTAGAGACTGGTTGCTGATCCCTCCTCCAGCCTTGCCCTAACGACACAATAGAGGTGGGGGGGGGAACTGTCTTGTAGCCTTGAATACCTCCAAAGCTAACATCGTTCCCTCACCCCCGAACTGACCTTATCATGATAAATGGTTGTTTTCTGAAATGTGGCCAATAATAAGTTTCTTGAAACAGGATCTGTTCTTGACAAACCACGCAGTGGAAGACCTGCTACTACCATCCCTGTTGAAAACACCGAACCAGGGCCATCTTAACAGTGTTATGGGCCCCTGGGCAAACCAGTGTGCTGAGTCCTCTACGACAATTACTCACAGGAATAAAAAGTAAATGGTTGATAATATTAAACTATATTTATTTTATTAGCACTTCAACAAAACTGGTGTTAAAACATTAAAAACATAATGTGATGTGATGTCCTCCACAAAATTGCAAACCTCTGGAGGCAAGAAAGCGAATTACAGAAACAACACGTGTCAACACTTCATGCCAAAATTCTTGCACTGAGCGATGTTGCTCAAATAATAAAGAATTTACACTTCCAGTTTTTTATGCCTTTATCAAATACGCTGTTATGCACTTTCGATGTTCCTCAAAGTACCTGACTCCTCCTACTATACTCTGTCTTTACAAGAGCCAGATCAGACCAAACATAAAAGCATTGCTGTCCTATCTGGGCTGGAATTGATTCCCTGACTTTATACAATTCAGAAGTGTCTACGCGGCCTTGGGGCTGGTGAATAAGAAGAAACCTTGCAAGCCAACTGTTACTCTATCGCTATTTCCGTGGCAAAAGTCCCACCAGTTCTGGCCTTCACAGCTAAGACCAGCCATTCAATTTACACTGGAACGAATCATTCGCACTCCCTTAATATTCTGTTAGCAAGAAGGAAATTCCATTCGGACAGCTTTTTCTCAAGAATAGCTATTCTATAGAACAGCCTCCCAAAAGGATGCTTCCCCAATCACGACAGTATTAACCGCTTCAAGTCCAAGGTTAACCGTTATCTTTCCTACCTATCCTCATAAACTACACTTCTTACCTCATCCTCTTCTCAACCTTATTCATTAACCTCATGTAAAACTGATATTCCAGTCCAAGTTAGTTGACAAAACGCTTCCTTCTTGGAACTGTGGAGTAAGGGAAGGAATTATTATTTGACCAGCGTAATGTGCTCTATTCCAACGCCTACGAATAAGAAAGAAATTTAAAACGAGAAACACCAAAAGGTACATTTCTACATTCAATCCCTTTGCAAGTATTACAGACTTGATTACAATTTTCGGGTGATTTGGGATTTGGGGAATTAGAAAATACATCTCTTTTAGACCGTCGAATAAAAGTAATGGTCCCATCAGGGCATTCAAAATAAGAGAAGAGATATCCTCTCTCAACTATTTATTGCAGATTAATCTAAACAAGATGCTTTCTTTTCGCCTCCGAGAAAAAAAACAATCAGAAAGTTCATACTGCAGCAGATTTTTTTTAAACAGAATTATGCCAAAGAGGTTTCAAGATCCCAAAACTCAGTGACTTCACAAGTATGGCTTGCTGCTTCAGATTTAAAAAAATAAACTATGTAAGAATCCGCTAGCAAAGATTAATGTCTTTTGCGAAACCGTAGCCAATTTAGTAATCTCTCTTTCGATTTACTTAATGTATAAATGTATAAACATTCCGAAATCACAAATTAGATGTTATTATTCATATATATTAAAATGTTTGTAAATTATTTACATCTTACCAAAAAAGATACGAAAACAAATGGAAGTTAAATTTATATGAATATTTTTTATCAAATATGGAGTCACATTGGTTTAAAATATCTGCAGGTTAACGAGAAACCAAAGTTATGATTTGGACAATTTCTACACTCTGTGCCCAAAAAAGAAAGCTTTTCTGCGAACACAAAAAAATTAAATAAAAAGCTTAGCTTTTGTGTGTCTTTTTTAATGAAACATTCATAAATGAAGGATTGCTGCCTAAATACACATATATATATATATATATATATATATATATATATATATATATATATATATATATATATATATGAGATGCGCATGTTTAGTCCTACCAACGTAACAAATTTAGTCCGATGCAGTCCTGAATGGTAAGACGATAAACTACAGGGAGCTATGTCACAAGTAAACTTTTTCCACTTTGTCATACAATTTTAATATATATATATATATATATATATATATATATATATATATATATATATATATATATATATATTTCTCCGAGGGTGTGCTGAAACGGCTCCTCCTAAAAATATTTTTTTTTTTTTTTCCTTGGTTGAAAACATTTTAGCATTCCCCATTTATAAGCACAGTTAGGTTCTAAATTATTCCTAGGACTGCAAAATTTGTAATGTTTTACAAATATTTTCATTAAAGGAATATCTTCTTTTTTTTCTCTCACCCTGCCTGACTTATAAAGAAGAATAATAAAAAAAAATGGAATACAGAGAAAAAAAAATAAATGATTTCGCTGATGTATTATTTGAAATTTCACTGTTTTAAATGTCAATTTGAGCCGCGAACATGCATTCCGTTTATGAAAATATTTGCTTAAAAGCATCGCTAATTTTGCAAAGATATTAAAAATTTTGTGCTGAAATGTATGTGTTCTCTACATGCGTGTATGTTTTTTTTTTTTGTTTTTTTTTTTTTGTTATCTTTCCAACAACATCAATCGCACACATATCCATACCATGTTCGGGTATGATGATTTTCTAAGTGTAGCTTAGATATGGCACAAGGCCGAAAGTATGAGGCATCCAGTGAGGATCGAACTCACTACTCGGTCGTAATTGATCTAGCGAGATAAGCACGTTAACCATTATATTGTCAACCCATGTCTGGAACTCGACTCTCCAATTTCCAATTTCGAGCCGTTGTACATTACACCACCCGCACTTCCAATCTTTCAGTTGCTGATATTCCCAAGCAGTCACCCATCCAGGTAGTAACATGTCTAGACGCTGCTTAATTCTGATGATCGGTGTTTCAACGTAATATGGCTGTAAACATGTGTCCAGTGGAATATGAAAGGTGTTGTTCAGTACGAACATATGGAGAAGGAAAGGACCATCACTGCAGATGTTTATTATCCAGCAGCTTGATTGTATAAATGAAGCATTATGCAGAAAGTGTCCCGAGAAAAAGGTGTTATTCCCCGGCATGGCAATGCGAAGATACTTTCTGCAAAATAAATTCAAGATTCTCTGCTGACATGAAATAGAAAGATTATGTTGAAATCATTGCTAGTTCTGCTGATAAGATCGTTGGTTCATTGTGTCGTGCCAGACAATTTTTTTCTCCTGAATCTATCTTAAACATTTATAAGTCAATTATTTGTCCATGCTTTGAATATCTTGACCATCTATGGTCCGGTGCCCCTATATCAGTATCAGCAATATTATTGGTCTTGACCTTGCGTCTCGGCTTCAGTCATCACGGCTTCAGTCGGTAGTTCAGTCAGTCAGTCGTTCAAGTCTCGACCGGCTGATCGGTTGAACTCTCTGCCTTCGGGCGGGGAGGAACCCGAAAGAGGCTACGCCGAAGGGCGGATTCTCTTTCGGGGAGGTAAACCGACCCTGAACCCGTTTATACGGGTTCAATGGGCATATTTTTGTCCGAGCCCACGAAGATCCCACGTTAAACCGGCCTTGTGCCACATGACGCCCTCGTGTGTGTGTGTGTGTGGGAGGGGGGGGGGTGACTGAATATCGTCATCACGGTAATTTAGCTTACCTGCGCGTTTACAATAAATACATTCATAGTAATTGTTCGACTGAACTCTTTTTCCGGTAGGGACCTTGGCGTGGTGTAATGGTTAACAAGCTTGTCTCGCTGAAACAGATACGACTGAATAATGGGCCCGATCCTCACTGGGTGTCCTATGCTTTCAGCCTTGTGCTACATCGCCGTTGAAATTAGGGTTGTTTTTGTATCTTTAGTTTATTCATTCAAATTAACTTAGCTAAGGGATGTATGCCTCTTTTATTTCTGTCCCCAATTTTTCTTTAGTTAAATTCCCCATCCCCACCTTCATTAGGTGGTCAGTGATGTCAGTTCTCTGGTGGATGTGGGTCACCTTTCGTTTTGGGGGTGTTTTTCGTGTTTGAATGTGTGTGCGTTTGGTCTGGTTTGGTTTGTTTCGTTTTACGGTATATCAACCCTAAAGGGTCATTTAATGCCGACAAGTTTTTTTTTTTTTTTTTTTTCCTGATAATATTTTTGTTTTGTCAAATCTATTTCTGGTAATATTTTTTTCCTCGAAAATGTATAGCTGGTAATATTATTTTAAAAAAAATCTATTTCTGGTAATTCTTTTTCAAAAACATATTACTGGTAATAGTTTTTTTTTTTTTTTCATTCAAAAATTTATTTCTGGTAATAATTTTTTACAAAGTATGTCTGGTATTAAAACCTATTTTTACACTTTTATAATGCTTTTTACCTCAGCCTCGGGGTTAACTATTTGCCCATAGCTGGGACCCTAACAGATGCTATCACCCCGGGTCAGGGTGGACCTGTAAACACCCAGCAATTAAGAGGTGGTTCCACGCTCCTCAAAACCTCCTGATGAGAGGCCTTTCTGTTTGGATGTAGTTTATCGTCTTACCCTAAACTCGGGTGTAGTTTATCGTCATACCGAGGATGGGAGTGTGTGTTTGAGTGAGTATATGGGATCAATGAATGTTTTATATTATTAAAGTCCCGCATTGATTTCGTCCAGTGAACTGATGTTTCTGCCACATTTAAGGATGGGGGGGAGAGGGGGTTATTACTAATATTATTTTATTTAGTTTCTTGTAAATAGTTTTGTTTTCATAATTCAATACTCATTGGGGTAGTTTTTTAAATTTGTTGTTTTATTCCCCTCCCCCGACAGACAATGAATTGTACATATAGTGATTTTCCAAGTATAGCTTAGATGTGGCATGAATTGTATATATAGAGTCTAATCAGGACTTTCATAGAGACAAAGAGGTATTATGGTGAATGTAGTAAGAAAGGTAAGGAAGAATGCGTTGTTTTGGTGTTAGGAATATTGTTGTATGTTTGTTCCAGTGTTTGTGTCTAGCTAAGTTTAACGTTAAGAGAGAAGACCGTCCTTTTCCTCCATTCCCCATTTTATGAATGGCACAAAACTTTGTTTCGAATTAGTTTCAAATCTCTTCCATGTCGTTCATAGAATATTTCAGAGTTTAATTGGGAAAACTTGCAAAGAGAATATCTGATTCCGCATGAGCTTTCGCTTGAGAACGGAATTCAATGTTCTACCATCTGCAACAGTCTTTTAACCGGGAATGCCAACCGTGCTATAGGTGATGAAAATTTTGCATGGCAAAAGAAAACGAAAAAGGCAATGGTTAACACCAAAACCAGGATTCCATCCAGAGTATTCCTGGCTATATATCTGGTGGAATATGAAATGTGTCGTCCATTACGATCAACTGGATCACGAAAGGACCGCCAGTGCAGATGTTTATTAACAGCAACTTGATCTGGTAAAATAAGCATTATGTCGAAAGTGTCCTGCATTGGAACATTTTTTTCTCGTTGGCTTACAGATGTTGAACACAAAAATGATTTCTTCTTCTTCTTCTACTTCTACTACTACTACTACTACTACTTTATGCGACGTGTCCCCCCAGGACGTAGGCGATCATAGCTCTCTACAATTTCCTGTCCCTTGTAGTTCTTAATGAACTTTGTCTTTCTGTTATTTCTCCTAAACCCTGTTCCTTCTTCCATTTACTCAATCTCACTAAATATGCTATGCGTGTTTTTTCTCTGTCCAATTTACCCTCTGTCTTGTGAGCACCAGATTTTCCAAGCCATCCTTCCTCATTACATGCCTTAGAAACCTCAACTGCCTCTTCCTGATAGTATTAGTTTCCTTTTTGTTTCCATTTTCTCCAAAACTTCGTCGTTGCTTACATGTTCGGTCCACGGTATCTTCATCATCCTTCTGCAGAACTACATTTTTGTTGCTACAAGTCTCTTCTTCTTCTTTAAGTCGATTGTCCAGCATTCACTGCCAATCAGGAGAACATATATCACGTCGCAGTTCAGCCCCTTTTTCCTTGTTTTTAGCGATTATTTTCTATTTCGTAGTACTTACCTTTTGAAGTGTATCTTTGACTAACCCAATACGCCTTCGTCCATTACGGGCAACTGGATCACGAAAGGACCGCCAGTGCAGATGTTTATTAACAGCAACTTGATCTAGCAAAATAAGCATTATGTCGAAAGTGTCCTGCATTGGAAAATGTATTATTCTCCAGAATAACAATACAAAGACACACTCTGCAAATATAAAAGCGAAGAAAAAAGCAAGATCTTTAGAATGGGAGGCTGTATCACATACTCCATACTCGCCAGATTTAGAACGTAAGGATTTTTATTGAAACCAATCACTAAAACATTTAATAAATGGTAGAACTTTTCAAAGATTTTCGCTGAAAAACACGGATTGCTTTAGATGGAAACAAAACTTTAGTTTCTCGTTGGCCTAGATGTTGAACACGAAAGTGATTTCTTCTTCTTCTTTATGTGACGTGTCCCCTCAGGACGTAGACGATCATGGCTCTCTACAATTTCCTGTCCTTTGTCTCAGTTCAGCCCCCTTTTCCTTGTTTCTAGCGATTATTTTCTATTTCTTAGTACTTACCTTTTTGAGTGTATCTTTGGCTAACCCAATACACCTTCGGATTTCAGTGCCACGCCCTCTGACCTCTGTTAAAACACTTCCCAGATATTGACATTTTTGGTCTCTCTTTTTTTGATTCTGGTCTCCCCGATTTGTAATTCTCACTTTGTGCTCATCCCTTTTGCTAACAACCATACATTTTGTCTTCTTGCAGTTGTTATTTAGTCCTTTCTTCTCGCTTTCCATCATTATCTTCTGTTGGGATTTTTTGTAGCTTTCTTTCCCTTCCTGTTGTCAACACTGTGTTATCTGCATGCCTTATGTTGTTATCATTGTGACTGCCAATAATGAATCCCGGTAGGACTTCTACTTCTTTCAGAATCCCTTCAGATTTTTCAAGCTTTCTTTTCCTTATTATGCGCTCCAGACATTTCTACTATCTCTTCCCGATGTTAAGTAAAAAAAATCTTTTTGTTCCCATTTTCTCTAAAACTTCATCGATGCTTCCATATTCGGTCCATGGTATTCTCAGTATCCTTCTGTAGAACCACATTTCTGTTGCTTCAAGTCTCTTCTTCACCTTTGTGGAGGTGGTCCAGTATTCACTTCCATGCAGGAGGACTGATATTACATAACAGTTCATGACTCTTTTCTTTGGATCCGTTTTCTATTTCTTAATATTATGCTTAGATTTTTGAATGCTTCGGATTTCAGTGTTACAACGTCCGTCCTCTGTTAAACCATTTCCACCATATTTAAATTTCGGCACTTGTTTAATTCGGGTCTCTCCGATTCTTTTGTTAACAACCATGCATTCTGTCTCCTTGCAGATTATGTTAAATTCTTTCTTCTCACTTCCCTTCACTGTCTCCTGTAGGAGTTTTTTGTTGCTTTCTTTCTGTTCCTGCTTGACATCACTTTTTTAAAAAAATTATATGTATAAATTTAAGTTACATTTGTTTTCGTATACTTTCTGGTAAGATGTAAATACTCTCCAAACATTTTAATATACACGAATAATAACATCTAATTTGTGATTGGGGCTTGCTTATCCATTTATACATTAAACACATCAAAAGAGAGATTCCTATATTGTCTACAGTTCCGCAAAAGACATTAATCTTTACTTGTGCAAGAAAAATATTCCTTGCTGTTTGTTTTCGATTGTTTCCTTAGTGTTTATAATTCTTTGGAATTTTTACGCTGGCCTTAGGAAATGCCACATGAACCCCTAACCGTAATATAATCATTTGTAGATCTGAGAGTAATAAGGTAATAGTAAAGTCGGGATACACTGAGAATTAACGGAGGAATTGTTAATAATTTCTCTAGAAGTACGTGCTTTATTACATTATCTTTTTTCCTTTCTTTCTTTCTTTTTTACCGTCTCTTTCTTTGTCTCTTACCTTTTGACTTTCGTTCTTTCTTTCTTTCGACATTTCTCTTTGTCTCTTTCTTTTTTTCGACATCTCTTTTTGTCTTTCTTTCATTATCTTTCTTCCTTCTTTCCTTTCTTTTCTTTCTTTCTTTCTTTCTTTCTTTCTTTCTTTCTTTCTTACGGTAACTGCTATTTTCTCTTTCTATTTTGTCTTTCTTTCTTTTTTACATCATTTCTGTCTCTTTATTTTGTTTTTCTTTCATTCATTCTTACAGAATCTCTCTTTGTGTCTTTTGTCTTTCTTCCTTTTTTCTTTCTCGTTTACGACATCTTTCCTAGTTTCTTTATCTTTCTTTCTTTATTACAGCAACCCTTTTTGTTTCTTTATCTTTTGTCTTTCTTTCATTTATTCATTCATTCTTTCTTGCAGCATCTCTCTGCATCACTTTATCATTTTTCTTTCTTTCTCTTCCTCATTTCTCTTTCTTTCTTTCTTTCTTTCTTTCTTTCTTTCTTTCTTTCTCTCAACTTTTGTCGTTGTCACGTTTTTCTGTATTCTTTTTTAATATCTCTCTTTGTTTCTTTCTTAAGACATCTCTCTGCGTCACATTATCATTTGTATTTTATCTTTCTTTCTTTAATTCAACACCTTTCTTTGTTCTTTATGTCTTCTAGATTTCTTCTTTCCTTGTTTCTTTCTTTGCCTCTTCATTTTTGTTCTACATCTCCGTTTGTGGCTATTTGTGGCTTTACCCCATTCCTTCCTTCATTCATTCCTTCCTTCTTTCTTTCTTTCTTTCTTTCTTTCTTTCTTTCTTACTTTCTTTCTTTCTTTCTGCTTATCACTTTGTTTTCTATCTTTTTCCTTTCATTCTTCCTTTTCTTTTTCTTTCTCGACCGATCTCTTTCTTTCTATATATCTCTTTGCATCTTTCTTCTCCGTTTTATTTCTTTCTTTCTTTTTTCCATTCCACCTTTATTTATTTCTTTCTTTCTTTCTTTTTTTCTTTCTACATATTACTTTGTCTTTTTCTTCTGTATTTTCCTTTCTTTTTTCCTTTTCTCTTTCTTTCTCAAACGTTCTCTTTCTTTCTTTATATCTCTTTGTATCTTTCTTCTTCCTTTTCCTTTCTTTCTTTCTATTTCCATTCCTTCTTTCTTTCTACATATCACCTTGTCTCTTTCTTCTGTCTTTTGAAATATCGCTTTCTTTCTACATATTTTTCTTCTGCCTTTTCCTTTCTTTTTTCTTTTCTTTTTCTTTTTTCTTTCCTTTTTTTTTTCGTGCTTTTTACATATATCTATGTCACTTTCTTCTGTCTTTTTCCTTTCTTTCTTCTTTTTCTCTTTCTTTCTACATATATCTTTGTATCTTTCTTCTGCCTTTATCTTTTTCTTTCTTTCTTTCTTTCTTGTTTGCTAGTTTCTTTACTTGCTTTTTCCTTCTCACCTTTCCTCGCTTTATACTTTTATCTTTCTTTACTCCCTCTCACGGTTTATTCTTCTCTCTCTTCTTTCTTTTTTCTCCGTATTATTTTCATTTAATTGGTAACGTTCACCTTCTCTATTTCTCTTTCTATCTTTCCCTTTTTAACATCCCATATTTCATGTCTGAGTCCAGTTCGGAATTTGAATCTACCAGTGAAAGTATCGCTTACTTTTCGGGCATTTACGATATATGTGGACGATAATGAATGTCGTCTGCAGGCGTCTTTGATCTTTAATCGTCTCAGCTGCACAGAGAAACCAAGATATTAAGGATCTTTTCTAGGTTGCACGGTATTCACTTAAAACCATCTGCCGTTCTGTCATCAGTAACTCATGAATCATTGCAACGATAAAAAATGGTCTCTTCTCCATTTTGGCAGATACAATTTTCGTTGTCGTTTTTTAGCGTATTTTTGTTTAGCATTCCATGAAGTGCACAAACGGAAAATCTAATAGCACTATTCTTTTTTTATGTACGACATTTGTCCCATAATAATTGGGGAATTAATGCAGAAAATATATGTGTAAATGTACCAACTATTATGTGACAGAGGTAGTAATAAATAATTCCAATTCCAAATTGGAAGGATTGCTGCTAGTTCTAAGCTGGTTTTCTTTAATCCTGATATGCTACTTTTTCTTTCTTCTTTTTATGAGTCATGTCCTCTCAGGATGGAGGCGATCATGGCTCTCCACTTCCCTCTATCCCTTGCAGCTCTCAACAAGTTCCTTCCCTCTGCTTCCTCCCCCAGACCACGTTTTGTCATCCACTTGCTTAAGTTTGCCAGATATGTCATGCGTTGTTTTCCCTTGTCTCTCTTTTCCCTCTATTCGACCTGTGAGTATCAGATTCTCCAGGCCCACCTTCCTCCTTCCTCAGCTGCCTCTTCCTGATATTGAGTATAAGCCTACTCCTTTGTTTTCAACATTTCTAAGACCTCATCGTTGCTCACAGATTCGGTCCATGATATCCTAAGCATCCTTCTGTAGAACCACATTTCTGTCGCCTTGAGTCTTTTCTTCATTTTTGAGGAGACAGGCCAACATTCGCTGCCGTAAAGAAGAACAGATGTCACGTAACAGCTCGGTATTCTTATTATGGTCCAGGTTAGGACCAAGGAAGAACAACACGAACACAAGAGTAGAAATAACGAAGGTATATTACACGAAATAATAATACAAGATGTGGAAGGTGTGACTCTGCCCTTCGGCGGAGCCTCGTCCGGGTTCCTCTTTGCTCAGAGGCAGAGAGTTCCACCGTCAAGCCGAAAAGCTCGACTTGATTCGGTATCTACCCCCCCACGAGGGTTGCATGTGGCACAAGGCCGAGTTTAACGTGGGTTTCCCGAGCCCGTAGCCTCGGCCAAAAAATGCCCGTAGAACCCGTATAAACCGGATCGGGTTGGTCAACCTCCCCGAACGAGACTCTGCCCTTCGGCGCAGCCTCGTCCGGGTTCCTCTCTGTTCAAAGGCAGAGAGTTCGACCGTCAAGCCGAGAAGCAAGGCTTGATTCGTCCCTCTCTCTTGAGAGGCATAGTATACATAGTGTTAGGAAGAGTTCATTTTGTAGTTATAGGTAAGGACCCATGACAATTCTTTTCCTTGTTACCAAAGAGAACCTCCTGTCTCACAATACCCTGCTCAGCTTTTGGAATGTGTCCTTGGCTATCCCAATACGTCTACGGATCTCAGTGTCACACTTACCGTCCTCTGTCAAGACGCTCCCCAGATATTTAAACTTCCGCGTCTGTTTGATTCTAAAGTTCTCGACCTGCAAATCGCATTGCGGGCTCATCCTCATACTGATGACCATGCATTCTGTCTTCTTGTAGTTTATGCTTAGTCCTTTCTTCTCTCTCTCTCTCTCTCTCCTTCGCTACCTACTGTAGGAAATTTTGTAATTTCTGTTCCGTGGCTGCTGTCAGTTCTGTGTATTCTGCGTATCTTATGTTGTCAAGATTGTGGGCGCAAATGCTAATGCTGAAGTTAATACTAATGTTAAACTCCAGTAACGTGATATGCAAAAGTGTTACCATAGAAGTTGATATCAATATATTAGACTACATTAGTCCCATAATGGTTGGTACATTTAGTGTATGAAATGTGTATGCAAATGTACCAAACTATTATGGGACAGAGGTAGTAATAAATAATTCCAATGCCAAATTGGAAGGATTGCTGCTAGTTCTAAGCTGGTTCTCTTTAATCCTGATATGCTACAGTGTTCCCATAGAAATTGATTGCAATATATTAGACTACCCCTGTCCCATAATGATTGGTACATTTAGTGTATGAAATGTGTATACAAATGTACCGACTATTATGGGACAGAGGTAGTAATAAATAATTCCAATGCCAAATTGGAAGGATTGCTGCTAGTTCTAAGCTGGTTCTCTTTAATCCTGATATGCTACAGTGTTCCCATAGAAATTGATTGCAATATATTAGACTACCTCTGTCCCATAATGGTTGGTACATTTAGTGTATGAAATGTGTATGCAAATGTACCAACTATTATGGGACTGAGGTAGTAATAAATAATTCCAATCCCAAATTGGAAGGATTGCTGCTAGTTCTAAGCTGATTCTCTTTAATTGTGGTGTGCCTCTCTCCAATAATTATTGGTTTTTAATATATCTAACATCCATGTATTTTTTTCCCTGGCAAATGTTAGAATGTGGAGAAGTTTGTAAAGAACTGTTCTCTTGTACACTAATTCCCTTCTTCTGCTATGTGTTACAATGTCTTCGTCTTTATCCATCAATATGGCCATGAAGACTATCACTCACGAACGATTTATACAGAAATGAAAAGAGGCGCTCGCAGATTTGTGTTTAGAGACGTCCTCGTTCATTTTCAATATCACTTCAGCATCTTTTTTGGTTTCAGTTTTCATGACAACATGAAACTGAAACTTGCCTTCGTCGCTCTCGCTTCTCGTCCACTTACGAAATCTCCTAACTTTAATACCAGTCACTTAGAGAAGCAATAATCGTCATGGCCGACGCTAAATCGGGAATCGTTTTCAAGATATCGTGTAACCCCATTGGGATGGCAGCTGGCTTCAAACAGTTCTGCAGGCAAATACCTTCATCTAATTTGCAGCAAAACATTTTAAGCAATGCTTTCTTTGATAGACATTAAAGTAACGTTGTTGGTGGAAACGAATAACCGTTGCTTCTACGCGACTTGATGCTTGGTGGATTTGTTAGGATTTCCGTTGTAGTGTTTTGTCTAGAATGAAATATTTTTTCAGCAGGGAGATTGTTTTTTGTTTTTTTTTGTTTTGTTTTTTTCATTATTTGCATTTTGGGGGTTCAGGTTATTTCTTCGCGATTCAAAGATTCTTTTTATAGAATTAAGCTAAATTTAATGCTGGTAGGCTTAACTGCATATATATATATATATATATATATATATATATCAATAAGCTGTCAGATCCTCATACGTCGAAACCGACGGGAGAGTCCATTATTATACATATATATTTTATTAATAGAAATCTTATAAGTATAAGAAACTATACTCGCTCGGAAAACCTTCGGTGTCTTGATTTGCAAATAAACAATCCAATACCAAAGGGAAAAAAGGTATAAAAAGAAAGAACCAAGAACATGTACGTTAACCGAAAATAATCGTCCAGCATTCGAGTCTATGGCCCAAAAAAAAGACCTCGATGCGAGTACCCAATATAACGATCCTGACGATCCGCTTAGGTTAAACCTTGGTAGGTTTCTGGCTCTTTAGATTTAATATATATATATATATTTCATTAAATAATATAGACAAGTGTTGTCTATTTATTTTATGTAAATTCTTTTCACATCGTCTGATAAGCTTAATAACATTATCATTAAACGAAGAAAGAAAATCACAATATTGATACATATTTTTTAATACTATCTAAGCTTTCGGCTTACATAAGCCATTATCAAAGATGACAATTACATTACAATATATTAAGTAATACACGGACAAAACAGTGATGATAGTCTGTTTCTGTTTACATGGAAGACTTCCAAGCAACGACAAACTCGTGCATATAAGATGCTGGAAGCGAAAATCGTACCACAGCTCATGACGTCACACATGACCACGCGAGAGTGAATTCGAGAAGTATTAAGTATGGGAAGACGTTGATATAAACCAATGGCTTCTGTTACCAATTATAGGCATTTAAGGATATTTGTGGAGATTTCATAGTTTATTTTGTTCAGTTTAGGTTTCAACTGTTTTATGTATATAGCGTCAAGAATTTTTAGTTTTTGTTTATTGTTTTCATGTTTTAGGTATATTTTCCAGAATTGTGTATGCGGCCAGGCATGTTGTTTTAAATGCCTAAAAATGTTAGAGTTTTCATTCAAATGTAGTGTCAAGCGTCGTGAAAGCAAGTTTGTGGTGTGTATTTTATGCAAAGAACTGTTATTCCCTTGAAAGAATATTGTGAAAAAATGATTTTCTCTGATTTCAATTCTTATTTGCAGGACAGAGTAAGCAAAGCAATAAATGAAGGAAATTGAGAAGGTCGACTGAAAAGGAAAGATTATAACGGAATCTGGCTGGCTTCCTTGCTAGTTTTGTGTGTGTGTGTGTGTGTGTGTGTGTGTGTGTGTGTGTGTGTGTGTGTGTGTGTGTGTGTGTGTGAGCGTGTGTCTGTGTGTGTTTGTGAGTACGCGCGTGTGTGTATGTGTGTGTAAGGGTGTGTATGTGTGTGTGTGTGTGAGCGCGCGCAAGTGTGTGTGTGTGAGCGCGTGGAGGGTGGGTCGGGAATGTGGTCCTATATGTTCACCTGAATGTATGTGTAAGCACGTGAACGCGTATGAGTGTGAAGTCTCCAGGTGTGTGTATGCTTGTAGACCACATATGCGTGTGTTTTGTATGTGCATATATTTGTATGCGTGTATGTGTGTTTATGTGTGCGTGTGTGCGAGCGTGTGCGCAATTGTGTTTACCTGTCTGTATGACAGTGTATGTATGTCACTGAATTTGTGAACGTGTGTTGTATTATGGTATTAGTGTATGTGTGTGTGTATGTGTGCGGGCATGTGATCTATATATGTGCCTAAATGTGTGTGCAAGCACGTGTACGCGTGTAAATGTGATGTTTCTATGAAGAAGGTGTGCGCATGTGTGTGTAAGCAACATGTGCGTGTGTGCTGTATGTATATATGTGTGTATACATGTGTGTGTGCGGGCGCGCGCGCAAATCTGTTTACTTATGTGTGTGATTGTGTGTGTGTGTGTGTGTGTGTGTGTGTTCCTGAATCTGTGAATATGTTTTTGACTTGTGGTGTTAGTGTGCGTGTACGTCTACTCGCCTGCGTGCGTGCGTGTATTTGGATACTAGTAGGGATTTGTGTGTCTATCTAGTATTGTCCGTATGTTCAATTCCTGAAGATGGTTGTAGGATGATGACGTGCTTGTATAATAGTATGATCTTAAACAGTTCTTTACTGCGAAGAGCATATCTGGAAGGAATATTAATTAATATCTTTCTATCGATGAACACACGACAGAGTAACTTTTACATGTCAGTATATTTCTTAAAGCCCATACTTAAAATATGTAAGATCCAGATACTCACATGTCGATGTAATCTATGCCTTTTACTCCAAAAATAGAACAAACATGACCAATGAATACACATTCCAATACAATCAATTCCGGCAAGACCAACTAGAAATATGATACACAAACATACAGGCACGCCATCATCCCATTACTATTTCAAGAATTAAATAAACGAGCACTACCTGACAAACACAGAAAAGCCCACTAAAACCAAGACGCAAACCTCTACCTGACGAATAATATAGAAATGATGATCCCTCTTGCTGTTGTGACCTCATGATCCAATTTTTCTCTCTACTCTCTCTTTAAACTTATTCACTGTTCTCTTAATGGTTCTGGAATGGATCTGGGAATGGAATCCAGAATATGAATGTTGGTACCATTACTGAAAGCCTGAATTATTCTTTTCCTCTCACCATTGTTCATTTGGGAAGAGAGTGAGGCTGACACAAAACGATATTAACCTATTCTCTTTTTACTTATTTAACTCAAATAGTGTTTCAGTGATTCTTACAACAAATGATGGTTCACGTACGATTTCATTTTCAAGTTTTTTTGGGTTTTTTTCACTGTTCTTTGGACTGTCATAGCTGAAACTCCTCTCTCAGGTGCCAAACGTCTTATGGATTGAGTTGGATCTTTTCTAATAGATCTTTAGCTCTAAGATGAAATGATGATGCCTCTTCCTGTTGTGACCTCCTGATCCAGTTTTCTTCTTTACTCGTCCCTCTTTTTTAAACTTATTCACCGTTCTCCTGGTGGTTCTTGACAAGATAACACATGCTGTCTTTGGCTTCTCCAGGTTAGAATGAGAGAAAGACAAAACTGGATATGGGTAAAATAACCTTGGGATCTCTGAGAAGTAGTAATTATAAATCTAGTCAATTACCTTAGCTTATCACCACCCAATGTCCAATTTTAAGAGAATGTCTGTCTGACTCTGTGTTTGTTTGTTTGTTTGTTTTATCTATATATATATATATATTAGAGCGGTTAAATGTTGTAGGATTTTTAATCAGAGACGTTTTTTTGTTTATATATATATATATATATATATATATATATATATATATATATATATATATATATATATATATAAATGGTGGTAATCGCTTGGGAAAACCTCGGATAGCTCGACTTACAGTAGAACAAATCGGTGCCCGAGGGAAAAGGGTGAATAAAAAAGAAAGAACCAAGAACATTAAAACAAGGCGAAAACAATCGTCCAGTGTTCAATCTCCAAGTCCAAAGAAAAAACCCTCTCCAAAACGAGTAAAGTGCTCAATACACTAAGATAATCAAAACCTAAGCAAAACTAAGATAAGCAAAACCTAAGATAATCCTAAGGAGCCAGGCAAACCTACTCATGTTTCACCTAAACGGATCGTCAGGGGGAAACGTAGGTAGTTTTGCTTGGCTCCTTAGGATTATCTTATATATATATATATATATATATATATATAATATTAGTGGTAAATATACACATACATATGCAAAATATATAAATATATATACATAGGTGCATACACATACATGTATATTTTTTGAATAAAAAATTCCAAGAGGATAGAATCCAGGTAGAACTCAATATCCAGGACAGAGTAAGGATATAATAAAAATTATATATATATACACGCGTATACACATACACACCCACCCAAGCATATACATATATTAGAGCATACCTGCATATACATGTATACATATACATACACATCGATATATACCTGTGCATACATATATACGCACCCATGCATATACATATCATAGACCCTTTTTAAGCGTATATTAGTAATTCTAGGGAAGATAATCGCTTAGATAAATAAACACTTTGATGTCAATATGCGATTCAACCGGTACTTTTCATATATTACATTTCGAAAAGCTTTCTTTTATTCTTTCCCTTATTTATTTTTTATCTGCCTTTTTAAAAAAAAAAAAAAATTCCCACCATCTTGAAGGTTATTTAAAACCCCCTCTTTTTTATTTTCTATCTTTACTGTTTTTGTTACAGATGCCAACATGACTTACATAAATAAAAAGCTTGCCAAACAGTATGATGAGAAGGATAATTACCTCAATTTTCAATGTATAGGACGCATCGATACATAAAACGACACCTTATTTTCAGCGCTATGTTCGAGGAATAAAAAACACGGGCGATAAAAAGACATCTACAGAATCTCCAAGACTTTGCTGATCAAGACGCGGGACATCAATTGCGGTGTATCAATAGTTTTTTAACCTAGTTTTTTAAGCGTATATAATACTCTCTACATAATATGTTGTGAGGGGCACTTGGACGTGGTATAATGGTTAACAAGCTTGTCTCCCGAGAATGCTTATGACTGAACAGTGAGTTCGATCCTCACTGGGTATTCCATAATTTCTGCCTTGTGCCACATCTAGTTTACGCTTATA